TTGCCACTTTTGGCATCTTGAAGGTCACAGGGATAGCTTGCTTCAATTCTAACTCCTCATCATCATCATCATCTATATCCATGTATTGGTCCATTCCCTTGGACTTCATGAATACATGCAGCTTCTCGAGCTTTTTATCAAGCTTGTCAAACTTTTCTGATACCACTGGTTTAAGCACAGATTTCCTCGTTGGCATTTTCTTTGAGAAAAACTCTTCCTCTAACCAAGTATCATCAGTATGCTCCTTTCTTTCAGACTCAACTTTATGCTCTACGTCTTCGATAACCACTTGCTCTTTACCCTTATCGGTTCGTAAGAACTTTTCAAGGCTAGAAGCCACTATTTTCTTAATCATCTTCTCAATTTCTGATAAAGGAACACTGGTTTCTTCCATTTTATCGGCAGAAGTAAAAGCCATAACTGATAAATCTTTTTGAACTAGAGTACTCAATCTCAAGTCCGAAGAACTGGTAGTGCAGAATTAAGCAAATCAAAGGGGGTCCAAAGTTCTTCAACTCTAACCAGGCGATTGTTTGCTCTTAACCAGTTGGCTTATTGTGGAGCTTTATCTTTGCGAGGCACATTCTTGACTGTAAAAATAGATGTTAGCAAACATGACATGATGCATGTATGCGTGGATGCATGAAAATAAAATGGCATACAACAATGCAATCATGCAATCATAACATTGTGAGATGCAACTAATGCTATATTCCATTGCGGCTTTATCACGACGTCTCAAATCCAAAATCGAAGAAGGGATTTTGAGAACTATTAAGAGCAAAACGTGCCCTATTCTATAGCCAAATACTTATAATGCTTTATGCTTATTCTTTCATTTGTTGTCCATTTCTTTTTAAGCGTGATAATACTTAAGCAGGGTCATTTATTTTAGATTTTTTCCTTTTTTTTGCATCAATAATATTTGGCTTAAAAATAGACTCTTTTCATTATTTTTTCAAAAGTGAACTTTTAAAATTAATTGTTCTTTTAAATTAATCCATTTATTTATTTGATATGGCTTTGCATCATCTAGAGTGAAGTGGCCAATTTCCATAAGGCGGTTGGCGATGAGAGTGAATCGTGCCACTACACCTTAGAAGAGAGTCATGGCTTCAAGTTGCGCTTGCTTTATTTCTAACAAGAGTTGATGAGCCTCTTCTAAATGGTCTTCCTTCGTTGGAGTTGGAATCAAAGGAGCTTCCCTCTTAGGCATTTGGGCCTCGGCCTTGTAATCACCATTAGAAAGAGCTCTTTTGGCTCATTTTGCTTCCAACACATTTGTTAAGTCTTTTGCCCTTTGGCGCTTTGAGCGTCGGGATCGAGTCATGATAAAATATACCTAAATGGCTACAAGAAAACAAGTTAAATGATGCATGGATGAAGCATGACACAATCATAACAATTATATACAAACAGGGGGAACAGGAGTAAGGAAATGCATAACCTCCACTTATATCTCACACACAAGATTCAAGGTCAAAGTCTCTTCTAACCCTAAGACATATAGGTTGGGCCTATAAACCACCATGGGGTTTTGGACCGTCGTCTCTCGCATTTATTACATGAATGCAACAATCATACTTTATTAAAGTGAACCTAGAGGAAGGAACTAGGGTCGATTACATGAGCTTAAGTTGGGTTTATTAAGTTTTGTGGGTCCCGAATATATATGGCACAACCCAAGAGGGGGGGTGAATTGGGTTTTCTAAAAACTGAAATAAATTTTAGAAATTCTAAACAAAAACCGATATATACTGGGCCACCCAAGAGGGGGGTGCATTGGGTTTCCTCAAATGAATACAATTTTCCTAGAAATTCTAACAAACTTACAAACTTCTAGTGCAGCAGAAAACACACCAGAACTCTTGTGAGCAATATTGAACTATGGACTTAAGAATATCCCCTCAAATGTCAATTATATAGAAAGTTTGTGCAAAGTGCAGCTATTGATTAGAACAGCTTCACACTTACTTATACACTATCAGAACTTCTTTATGAAGGAAAGTTATTGAAATTGGAACTTCCTCAAAAAGTTTGAGAAAACATATAAAGCTATGTGAAAGACAATTATTAGATTCAGAACTTCTTCACAGAGCCTTAATCAAATATCAGAATGACTTTATGATGGAAAGATATCAGGATTAGAACATCCTCATAAAGTTTAGAATATTAATTAGAAACCCAATCAGTGAAATATACTGTAATTAGAACAATAGTTAGAACATGGTATATTCACTTTATTAGAATACCAGAGTTCTAATATTCAGAAGAGGCTCTAATGTTCAAATAGATAGACTTATTACGTTTTAGAAATCTGAATTATTAACAACTTTAGGCGTTTTCCTAAAATTAAACAAAAAGTGTTATAGAGACACGTGTCAAACAAACTTCAGAAATAAAGAGAACTCAACACCGAGAATTATAGTGGTTCGCCACTAAACTCGCTACATCCTCCCAAGACGCAAATCTTGCAGATATGCAACTAAGTCTATCTCTTTTACAAGGGTAAGAAGACAAACCAACAGTACAAGGCAATAGACTCAACACCTAGATTACCCTTTTGGGTCCTACTAGATTTTCCAAAGGTTTCTAGTTCTAACCTCCAACCCTTTCTGTTTTTTGACGAGTACAGGAAAAACCCCCGCCCCCCCCTCCCCCTCGCCCAACCCTCAATTAAGACATTATCATCCACCCATGGAGAAGGTCGCTTGATAACCTTAAAGGGTAAGAGACAAACCAACAGTACAAGGCAATAGATCAACACCTAGATCTACCCTTTTGTCCCACTAGATTTTCCGAAGGTTCTAGTTAAATAGACAGAAAGAAACACCCATATAAGCACAGGAAAAACAGTTTTATCAGATTAGAAGATCGATTAGAGCACAGAACTGTTTTTCAAAAGTAATTGTAAAAATTATTTTCACTTTTAAATATCGAAAACGTTAAGTGTAGAGATGAAAAGAAAATGGGGGTAGAGAGCAAGTTTTGAGAGATAAAGATTTGATCAATGAGAAAATGCTCTTAAAACCAAAAACTCTTACTTCACCAATGTTTAAGACGTGAAAGCTCCTTTATATAGCGAGCTAAGAAAAGAAGCTGGTTCGCCTTTGAAGTAGATTTTTCCTTTTGAAATTAGCATATCCTTCTTCTCTTATTTCAGAAGATAATGAAAATCCTTCCTGGTTACCAAAAGTTTATTTTATTCCTTATTCTGGTAAGTCAGAATAAACCCGATTCTTACTTTTCCTTTGATCAAAAGATTTTCGGTTAGGAATATTAGAAAGATATTTTTGCGAAGGATGCCTCTTACAAAAACAAAACGAAAAAGATTCTTCCTTCGTTAAGAAAATAAATCTAACTGTACTTTAGATCTTTAGAATATATATATCAAAAGTGTATGATTTTATTACCAAAACGTTAGGGAAGAATCTCTTTAGTTCTTAGGAAAATAATCATTTCGGTTTAAAGAATAACTTTCTTCCGGAAAAATAAACTATTTTTTACCCGATACACATAATTTTGAAGAAATCCTCAATTCTTCCGAAAATATTTTCTTGAGAGAGAAAAATAATTTTTTGTGCTCACTATAACTGGATTTTTTCTCTCTTATCCTACAAGTATCCTAATATACTGCTTAGGACTTGGAATCTTTCACACTCAAGTAGGCTTGCTTATATGATTTCTTTTCCATACACATCTCTTTCATAAAATATTAGCACAAATAAACAATAATTTTAAATTTATTTGTTTTGTATTTAATCATTAAAATCCGGATTAGAAATTTGACCTTGAGCAACAATTCCCCCCTTTTTCTCGCACTGCATGACAAAACCAATTAAATTTTTAGCAAACATAAAAACAATGTTCTCCCCTGCAATTTTATACATGTACGTTTCTAATCATCGCCAAAAGATTTCTAAATAAAAATGAAAAAGGCAATTTTTTCAGAAACAGTGTTTTTTGCTCCCCCTTGATTAGATGTATAACTGCTTTTAATGGAAAATTAAGCAAGTAGGGAGGGTTTTTAGAACAACCAAATGATTTTAGAACTAAGCCAAAATACGGGCAAGATTTCTAAGTTCTTAACATCAGCAGGCATATACTATCTTAAGACTAGCAAAATGGGCAAGATTTCCTAAGTTTCAACAAGTCTAAGTTCTAACAATCAGAGTTATTATACTTAGAATAGCACTAGCAGAGATTGACAAGATGTTCTAAGTTCTAATAAACAGAACATATGGTCAGAGCAAAAGAATAGAAACTGATATTAGAAATAGAACAAAGGATCTTATGTGCAACCTGCAAAACAATCGTTAGAATAAGAATCTAAGTCCTAAAATCACACAGCTTATCATATAGAAAATATAGCTCACCAAAATCACCAATAAACATACAGATTAGAAAATATAAGCACACAGATAACCACTAAGATACAAGTACTTTGGTTACCAAGTTCGTACCAATAGTGTTCAAAGTACCACCAAAATACCTGTTCTCCCCCTTTTTGTCATCATACAAAAGGGTTACACAAAATTAAAGCAAAATAAAGAAAAAAAATAAACAGTTAAAGAAAATATAATTCTACGAAGATAAAGCAAAATAAATTGTTCAAAACACATAAAAACACAAATCAGAGAGGCTTAGAACCAGTCCTAAGTCTCTTAGAACTCCTCAAGTTCTGAGCTGGAGTAGTCTCAGAAGAACTCTCTGGCCTTTTAGAAGAAGGGTGTAGTGGAGGCTTCCTTCCATGAGTATGAGTTTATGCTTTTCTGCAAGTAGTGCTTCACGTCTCTTGGCTTTTTTTTGAGGAGGGGGAATGTAGGGTGTTTCCTTTATACTCTGAAAGTAGACTAATTCCTTGTGTTCACAATCCTTCATTTTCTTCCAAAGTTTTGATGGGGATGATTTTGGTCCAATTTCAGTTGGGCATTGCTTGTGTTGCCTCATCAGCCTCTTTGTTATGCTCTAATATTAGTCTTCCTCTTCCTTTTCAAGCATCAGCTTCCTACTTCTTTGAGCCGACAATATCCAGAATTTCTTCTGCTTTGCTCTGTCTTATCCTCAGTAGTCTTTTCCTCATCACTGATTTCTATTTTCTCAGTTTCAGCATCACTATCTTCCTCAGCTTTCTTCCCTTTTTCAGACTTTTCAGACTCTTTCTTCTTGTCTGTTTCTTCTTCTTCCAATTCTTCTTTCTCTGCCGCACTCTCCTTTTCAATTTCCTCTTTTCTCTCTTCTTCTTCTGTTTCTTCTTTCTCTTCTCCTGCCTTTTCTTCTGATTTCTTTTCCTCTTCTTTTACTTTCTCTTCTGATCTCTCTTCTGATTTCTCTTCTTCTTCTTCTTCTATTTCACTCAACTTTGCCTTTCCTTTTTCTTTTCTCTTCTTCTCAGCTTCTTCTTTTATCTCTTTTTCCTTCATGACTTTTTCTTCCCTTTTTACTTTCTTTTCTTTTACAGTCTCTTCTTCTCTCTTTTCTTCTTTCTTTTTCTTTTCTTCTTTTTCTTGCTTTTCCTTCTCTTCTTCCTCATCTTTCATTTTCAAGGACCCGCTATCCAACTTGGAAACAGAACTACCAACATGCTCATCTAGATTAACATCCAGAAACTCAAAAACTGGGGTAAGAATCATCTCGTAGGGTAGCTTCTTGGGATTGTTCTGCAGCTTATCAAAAATAATGTGACATAGATTGAGGGGTTTTGGGATTGTTCTGCAGCTTATCAAAAATAATGTGACATAGATTGAGGGGTTTCCTCTCAACTATGTGCCACATTATACATAGCTCTACTTGATTTACATACGTTAGTGAGGCGCTCTTAGGATAGATATAATGTACAATGAGTTTGTACAACCATTTCATGCTTTCAGTCAAGTTAGAGCATTCTATCGAGCCCTGTTTGTCTGCAGAAAACTTTTTCACAATCTTTTTCACAAAGTCTTCCTTTTTGTAATTGCTAACCCCAGACACGTCCTTAATTTTGGTCACCCTAGACCCAGCATTCGGTATATCAAAAATTTTCCCAAAATCATTATACGATAACTCTCTGGTCTCACCCTGAAGCTTTACAGAGATCGACTCTGTCCCATTTACTTTCAAAGAGCCATAAAATTCCTTAACTAAACTCTCATAGCACAGTTCATTCAAAGACAAAAAGTTCATCCATCCATTCAAATGACAAAAGTTCATCCAGCCCTTGGGAACTTCAAAAGTCCTTTAAAATTAACTCATCACCACCAGAACTTTCAGTCAATCACATAAACACGCATGAAAGAGGGTAAGCATGAGAGGGTAAGTTGAAAGAACTGATTTACCTTTATCACGAGCTTTCGCTACCTGTTTCTGTGATGTAGCAGTTTCGATTTTTCTTTTCTTCGTTTTCTCTTCTGCCTTTTTCTCCTTCGACTCCTTCTGTTCATACTTCTTTGAGAGCTTTCTCAGAAGTTGAAGCTCTTGCTCGGTAAGAGAGTCGGATAAAGAGTTTGAACTAGATTCGACCATTGTTGTAGATTTCGAAACTCAAAAACAACTTAGGGTTTCAGTTAGTAAAGAGACGATAAAGAGAATGCTAAGCAGTTAATAGAGAATAAAGACACTTAAGTGGCAATAAAGACACTTAAGTGGCGGAAGAAAGAAATAAAGAACAGTATTTAAATGGAATTCAAAACGACAAATAAGACAAAAGAAACAAAATAAATAAAGGAAATAAAACAAAACAAAAAAAAGTAAAAAAAATAAAACCCTAAAACTGCCAAAGCACTAAAGACACGAAAACATAATAAAAACAAACACAATAAAATAACTGTTTTAGTCTAAAACAAAATTCTGATAATGACTTTAGAAAGTCATATCAAAGCAATGTGCGTTTTTAGACAAAAATCAGTTGTCACACAGAATAAAAATTAGAACATAGCAAATCTTCTATTTTCGAAATTAGAAAGTAGTTTAGAACATACTTACAGAGTTCTAAAGTTACGAGTTAGTTTAGAACTAACAATACCAAAGTCCTTTTCTAATTGAGCAGAATTGATTTTCCATTCAAAGGTTTTGTAAAGATATCTGCCAATTGCTTTTCTGTGGAATGAACTCAATCATGAAATCAACCTTTTTGTACATGATAACGATGAAGTGATGTCTTAAGTTCTATAATGCCTGGTTCTAGATTGCTGAAACTGGATTCCTTGGATAAATTTGATCAGCGCTTTGTATTGTTGTCCACATCTGATAGGCAAACTGTTTCTATTTCCAGTCCATAAGTCCTGCCAACTGTTGTTGATCCATAGAACTTGGTGCAACACAGCTTCCAGCAGCAACATATTATGCTTCTGCAGGTAGAAAAGAGCAAACAGATGTTTCCCTGTTTCTTTACTAACCAAGAATACTAGGGGCACATCCCAGGGAAATTGACCAAGATCCAGCACACGTGCTTTTCCCTGCATGCTTTGATTTTTGCCTGCTTCCAGATTTCAATGTGCTTCTAGCAATGATCTATTAATAAATCAGAATCTGACCATCTATAAATGTGAAGAAACGAAAATCACTAATTAAAGAATACCTATCTTTTGTTGCAGGCTTCCTGAAACTGGACACTTCGGAACTTCTATCAAACTCAACTAATACCCTTCATCTAGTCCGGCGAACTCTCTAATCTGGGGGTCTGGTGGTATTTCTAAGATGATACATTCAATGCGAGAATATTTAATATGGTGATCTATTCTTAGATAGATATACTGAAATTTTGCAAGGAAGACAAGGACCACAGAATTAGATAGTATGTCATAACGCAAAGAATAAAAGTCTTCAAGCTATTGGGAACCCTTCTGTTCAACAGCAATTAAATGCCAAATTCTTTGGTGTACACCTGATTCCGAAATCTAGCACTATAGACAAACACTAGAAATGTATTGATGTATGGGTTCTGCCTTGCCCGTTAAATTAGCCAAAGAACCAATCATTACTTGCTTAAAATAACGCTTGATATTCAACAACGTCCTGTCGCTCCTTAGGTATTTCGAATTCCATCTTTTTCTATATCATTTGAAGCAAGATGGACATCATTGTTGTCTACTAGCTATACCTTGGCGTTTTGTCCATTTTGATCCGTTCTCACAAACTCTTTAGTAATATTCTTTTAAATGACTTTAATAAGGAAATCTCACAATTCTCACGAGATATGTTTGATTCTGAAGTCCAAGGAAGAAGATTTTTAATTCTCCCATCATACTCATTGTTCGACCACTCACCCTGCATTAATCTTTAGAAGAATTCCTTCACAACCAGAAGGTTGCGGTAGTAAGAACCAAAGAGCTTTATGGGTTTCGAGTCAAACATAGATTTGTCCACAACATCAGAAAATATCACAGTGTGGCTTTGTTTTTTAAAAATAGTTGATTGTAATCAATCTTTTCTCTTGAAAAACTCCAAGTTGTTACTAAATATGCAAACTTATACTCAAATCCTTTCATACACCAAGTTGCTGCTCAGGGCTATGGCTTAATCTCCAATACCATAATAGGGACGCTGTTAAAAGTTAAGTTTATGTAAACATGATTAGGGGATTTACATCAAAAATTTGCCAAAGCCCGGACCGGTCTTTATTCTCTAAAAATTGCATTACACCTCTTCACTTAATTAGAACACACAATCACGTATATAGCGGAGAAAGACTACTTTCTCAACTATCCTATTTGATATACAACAGTGAAGTTTTTTAAAACGATGGCAAAAATTCCCCAAAGCATTCTAATTGCACTCAAGGTCTAAGCACCGGTACGCAAGGTTTTACATGCAAAATCGAACCTAGCACGTTCATTCCTCACTTGTTGGATCACCCTGAGCACCACTAATCGTGCTTAACAGTTCTCACAACATTCTACCTTGTATATTCCCTGCTGATCAAGGCTTTATTTCTAAACAACCCATTATATAGTTCGAGTATAATAGTAATGGTTTCTTAATAGGTCTAAGAAACAAGGTTTTTCAAATTTTGTGTTATCTCAATGATTTGCTTTCTATCTCGCAATAGCAAGAATCCAACCTTTCATCATTTACGAGCATCTTTAAATTTTTAGAGGTTCTAATTGAAGAAAAACGAGAGGAGCAACAATTCCAAATTAGTATGCTAACTAAAGTGAAGCTCTAAGTCATTCATCCCTTTCTTGAGGGATTATACCAAAATTTACTTCATTTGGGGATGTATACTTAATGAGAAATGAACGCCACATTCTTTTGGGTAATTGAGACAATAATTCCAATTTTCCTTCGCCTGTTTGCTGGCTATTTGACTTCTCAACAAAATGTTCTGATCTATCATAGATATGCTAAGATCTCTGTGTTCAGGTACTGACTATTTGGATTGTTCTGATCGCATTTCTGGCTTGTTCTTAGTTGTTTCCTGATATGAGAGCGTCGTTAACATTTAGATCATCCTTTTTCATAGAATGTAAGAATGCTACAACATCAACATTGCTCATTCTGCTTTTCAGGATTAGAATCTACAACATCATCACTTTCTAATGTTCTAGAAGTAGAGTCAGTTTCATCAAACACAACATGAATTGATGCTTCTACAACTAGAGTCTTTTTATTAAATACTCTATATGCTTTACTATTATTAGAATATCCCAGAAAAATCCCTTCATAAGATTTTTCATCAAATTTAGCAAGATGATTTTTCTTGCTATCTAGAATAAAGCATTTGCACCCGAAGATATGAAAATAACCATTATTTGGTTTTCTACCTTTGTATAGCTCATATGGAGTCTTTTTAAGTTCAGATCTTACCAAAGCCCTGTTTAGAATATAACAGGCAGTGTTAACTGCTGAAAAAGTAACTAATTGCATGTGTTTATATCTGCTTCTACAACAGGAGAACTAAAAAACAGTTATATTGGTAAGTTATGTAGATTCATGTCTAGTCATGGTTCTTTAGGTGCTATGTTCTCTCGTTGACTATTGAGTGCCTATTTGCAGTTCTCACTCACTAGGGCGCTTATTTTGATTGTTTTTAACTTTTGTTGTTGTGCTATGGTGCCTGAGTAAGTAATTTATGGAAGATTCTATGTCTTATCGTTTGCAATATATTAGGCATCGATATTCTTGTTATGTTTCATATATTATCCTTCCATCGACTCAGCTTCTTAGAATATGCTCCATTTAAAATACTGTGTGCATTGTTGATTTATCTTTCTCTTCTTCTCGTCATCTCTGTATAAGTGTTTCTTTTTATTCTTGCATACATGATAACGATACGCACATTACATAGGTCATTCCTTCAATTTGTAAATCGAGCTCTATACTATTACCTTAACTTGAAACTCTAATAGCGTGATATTTTGAGGATGTCGAAATCTATCAACAGAATCTTGCAGCAAAATGGTCATATCTGCTAATATCAACAACTATATCCACATACGAACTTTTACTCGCGAGAGACAGAGACAGAGAGTGAGCCTTGGCACATATATATCACTCAAGGTGTAAGCAAGTCTCTACAAGGTGCTAGTTAGTATGGAACCAATGCCTTAGGAGTTTACAGAGAGAATATCTGAGTTTGTTTGGCGACCCATTTGACAAGCGATACACAACATGTGATCTTTTTCAAATATTCAACTTTGGCAATTACCACGACCAAATCCTTCTTTTGAGACAGTTTAACGAACTATAAGGTGATAGCTTGCCATGTCCAAGTCTTCTTAATTGCCATAAAATCTAGAATTATCATAGAAACTAAACATATATGTTGCTCCGTGTGTTATGTCATAATCATTGTTAGAGATCTACTAGGTTATTTATCTATTTCACCTGTTTCCACTAAGTAGGTTTATTTATCATGTCTTATGTTTCTGACTCACAATGATGAAGGATTCAAGATTTACTCTACTATGTTTATCAATCAATCTGACTTTACTTAACAGTTATGATGTAGTCCCTTCTACTTAAGCTATACACTTCTTATTGAATGGGATTTTGAGCCATCATCCAGCATCCATCACCACGTTTTGTACCTTTATGTTCACGTTATTCTCCAAGATTAACATGTACTCCTTTTCTTTCTAAATCTGGTAAAATCGTGGTCTTTCTTTTGATAACACAGAGAATCCATAAATTGGGTGCCTAGAGAACGAAGTGCTTGTCCTATTGGTACCACATCTCTCGGATGTGTTCAGCTCGCTCGGTATAAGGGTCATCGCCAAATAGTCAAGCCAATTTAGTGTGTTACCCAGGTCATAAGTTGGGGATACTGGAGGGTTAGTGGTAACAGGTGCACTATGATTCTTCTTTTTGTTGAAACTTTGATGTTCTAAAGTCACAACATTAGAAACAGCATTTTACTGGATTAGAACACGATTCCAATTTAGAAATGCTATTTAGAACTTGTCTTTCTCTTAAGAAATGATTCTGAAAATTCACTTTAGAATTCTAATCTCAGTTTTTAAAGATTGCAATTTTCAGAATTCCCCAGATTTTTGTCAATTTTCTTCAAAGATGTGTCAGATTTT